TGATGCTGCTTGGCCTGCTGTGTTCATCCAGCTCTGCACCTTGTTATCTCGGATTCTCCAGCATCTGCAGTTCCTACTGTCTCTGATTCAAGGTTATTTGATGACTGGTAGTGGAGGTAAGTGGGTTGGAAATGGATTCCATCACTTTGGAATCTAGTGGTTTTCTCCCTCTGCTAGATCTTGTGGTCAAACATTCGGTGAGTTTAGGTAATTTCATAAGCGAAATCCTATCTTGTATCAACAAGATGCTGATAAGTTGGCCCTGACTTGTTAATTTCATTGTACAGTCTCAGAAGGATGGCAGATGGCAGATGGCAGAGCCCTGTTGAAATAATGTACATGGCTCATAGCTGGAAAAGAGAGAGGAGTAGTTTGGTATCTTTTTGTTAGAGTAAGGAAAGATTTGCCTTCACTGTAGCCCATGCAACCCCTGATATGGAAGTGCATCGTACAGCTCTCCCATCTGTAACATTTTCAGAAGTGCAAAATCCACCATCAAAAACTCAATGGTAAAATAGCTCAGAGATTGTAAGATTTCCAGTTCAATAGCCCCTTTTCTGTTACAACACAGGTGAAATTCCGAACAGCTCTGTAGTTGACCTCCCGATATGGTTTATCTGACGTCCCATAGAATCTTACAGCACAGAAGATTCAATTTGATATTGCATTGACTCTTTGAGTTGAGCTATCCCATTAGCCCCTGCCTTTGGAAAGGGTGCAGTAAGATCAATTACATGCAAATGACCAATAGCTCAGTAATATTTCACACCTCTGTAGAGTCACTAGCCCACACTACAATATGAGTTATTTCCTGATGGAGAGTCACAGAATCCCTACAGTGTGGAAGGTGGCCATTCAGCCCATCAAGTCTCCAAAGATCATCCCAGCTAGACCCTCCCCCTTACCCTATCCCCCTTTAACCCTGCATTTAGCATGGCCAATCCACCTAACTTGCACATCTTTGGACTGTGGGAGGAAACCGGAGCACCTGGAGGAAACCCACACAGACACGGGGAGAATGTACAAACTCCACACAGTCGCCCGAGGGTGGAATTGAATCCCAGGTCCCTGGCGCTGTGAGGCAGCAGTGCTAACCACTGAGCCAGGATATTATTATATCATAATATCCTGGATACTGTCGCAATTAACCTGGAAAAAATATTGGAGAGCAGTCAAACAAAATAGTGCGTTTGTTCAAATGCTTTGAATTCCGTTGTTTATTTATTCTAGAAGTATTAGCCACAGGGTAAAAGGCTGATTTGACGACATAGAGCAAGAAATCACATGACTGAAAACTCCAGGGATAAATATAGCCAGTGACTGCAACACTTTTCTTCCTTAAAAGTGAAAAGCTATCAAATGAACTACACTCATTTGTCACATCTTCATAATAAACTGACAGATTGGAGATGTTAGTAACATCAGGTACAAGTGCAAGCTACTCCTGGAGTGAGGTGAAATAAAGATTAATTTGTACTGTACTTTAATACATATGAAAATTGTACAGCAATCCCCAGTTTAATTAGAGATATGAAAGTTAGTCAAAGAGCATTGGCCATTTGCTATAATTAAGTTCATCCTAGTTTATCCTGTGGGAAATCTTGATTTAACTGGCTAAAGGTTAACCCCAGGCAAGCTCTGCCCATTTCAGAGTCCCTGAAGTGAGATATTGCTGAGTCTTCTTTACACAGAGAGAGGTGAGTGCGTGGAATGCGTTGCCAGTGGTGGTAGTGGAGTCAGATACATTAGGAACATTTAAGCGACTCTTGGATAGGCACATGGATGATAGTAAAATGTAGGGTATGCAGGGTAGTTTGATCTTAGAGTAGGATAATGGGTGGGCTGATGGGCCTGTACTGTGCTGTACTGTTCTATGTTCTATGTTCTTACATTCTATTTCCTAGACGCCAGCATGTGATTGAAAAAGGAAGCCATTTTGAGATGCATTGCAACAGTGGGAACGGAATGAGAAAGGAGGGTTTTTAGATAATAACAGAACAAGGATGAGACTCTGCTTCAAAAGAGGGGGAAGACAGAGAATGTCCACCTCAGCTCTTTTAGTCTATCTTTCTATGGTTTGGAGAATTACAGCAGCTGTGGAAATTCAAACTGCTTCATTCTGTGTTTCAAAAAGAAACGTAACTGTCAGTAACAGTGGAAATCTCCTTGTCCAGATAGGTCACCGAGACTTTGACGTGGAGAAACGGTTGCGCAAGGATTTACGACGCAAGAATGCCCTCCTGGCTGATGCTCAGCTGCTGCTGGGTACGATGCAGAATCCTGGTCAAACCATCAACAAACAGGAGGTGGACAAACTCCAGATGCAGGTCAGTCAGAACACATTGCCTCCCTCTATCATTGCTGCCTTTGGAAATAAAAACAGAGAGGTGTTGGTGTTCCAGAGAAAGCCTAAGCCCAACACGGTTTTACCAGTTGGTTACTAAGCCATCAGATTCCAGAGAACTGATGCAACCTGTACCTACTCATGTTTTTGTCTTCAGCTTTATAATGTGGAACTCTACCAGATTTTAAGCATGCTTCTATTCTTCCAGTTATCCCCTTTTGTTTTGTCACCAACACCTCACCTTCCAATTTTGTCCCCTATAATCCTGAGTGCATTGTTGTTAGAACACTTTGTTCTTTTGTTCAGGACCTTACCAAAGTAAAGATTCTTATTGTGAACGCAGTTGCATTGAGGGAAGGTCATTGTGGCTGGGACCTCATCAGATAAGAGCATTTTGTAACAGGATCACAAGCATTCACTCCCTCCACTGGACACTGTCTACAACATGTTCTGCAGCAAATCAGCGAAGTGCCTGTGGCAGCACCTTCCAAATCCCAACCTGTACCAAGTAAGAAGGACAAGGGCACAGATATGTGGATACAATACCACCATTTGCAGGTTTCCCCTCCAAGCCACTCATCATCCTGACTTGGAAATATATTGCTGTTCCTTCTCAGTTGCCTGATAAAATGTCCTGAAACTCCCTCCTGAACAGCACTGTGGGTATACCTATAGGACACATGGCTTGAGAAGGTATCGTCATCAGTTTCTCAAGGAGAATTAGGAATGCTCAGTAAACGCTGGCCCCGTCAATGTCATCCATATTGTCCCAAGAGTGAATAGGAAGTGACTTCTTTTTTCTTTTATTCATTCACGGGATGAGGGGATCACTGGCCAGGCAGCATTTATTGTCCATCCCTAATTGCCCAGAGGGGAGGTAAGAGTCAACCACATTGTTGTAGGTCTGGAGTCACATGTAGGCCAGACCAGGTAAGGATGGCAGTTTCCTTCCCTAAAGGTCATTAGTGAACCCAATGGGTCTTTCCTGACAATTGACAATGGATTCGTGGTCAGTGTTAGACTCTTAATTTCAGGTTTTTATTGAATTCAAATTTCACCATCTCCCATGGCGGGATTTAAAACTGGGTTTCCAGAACATTATCTGGGTCAACATACCACTAGGCCATCGCCTCACCTTGTGGTAGGTGTGTTTACCGTTTGTTAAAGCTGTCACCCTGTGCTAATGGATACTTCCCTGTTTAAACACATTAAATTCACTGAACAGTCCAGGAGTTGAACCAGGGTCCATTGTGGTTCTGTTAACTCAGAATTAAGTGATATATGGTACTCGCATGAGAAATTAGGAAGATCAGGATGTAGAAAGAAAAGTACTGGAAATACCAGAATATTTACTGTTCTAAGAAAATATTGTGCAAAATGATGCAAAGGATAAAGATGGCAATCAGTAATACATCTAATATAAAGATAACAACAGAAAGTTTGGAATCTAGAGTTATGTTTTGTATAATTTAACCCTACTGCACAACAGCACAAGACTGCGGAATTTTTGCAACTGATGTTTTTTAAGGCACGTTTAACTTATCACAGTGTCCTGTTTGGTCATCTTGTGGAATGTCTGTTTATAAATTGTGGAATTTATCTGAGATGAATAGATCTATTAATTTATTTATTTCCTACATTTACCATTTTAATGGCACAATTACCACCAATTTCGCACACTTGCATCAACAACAAAAACAGAAATTGCTGGAAAAGCTCATCGGGCCAGGCGATATCTGTGGAGAGAAATCAGAGTTAAGGTTTCAGGAATCTTAAAGTTGTTGAATCTGACATTGAGTCCAGAAGGTTGTAGAGTTCTTAAGTGGAACATGAGGTGCTGTTCTTCTAGCTTGTGCAATTTTAGGGATTGAGACGCCTTCTCCCACGTCTCTACCCCAACTTGTACACACCAGGCCTGTTATTGCACACAAACCATTGTTAGCCACTAATAGTCCCTATTAGCTGCCATTCATTCTCCCAGGCTGATTGTTCTCTAATCCTTTGTCTATCCAACTGTTTTCTCTCTTTGGGCTCTGTCTCGACCTATCATTTACTCCTTAATTTCTCCCACGTCCCCCAACCCACCCCTCCTGCCCCCCGCCCCACACACACACACACACACACACACACACTATCATCTACGTAAAAACCAACTTTTTTCTAACTACCACCAGTTCTCACGAAGGATCACTCAACCCGAAACATTAACTCTGATTTCTGACCACAGATGCTGCCAGACCTGCTGAGCTTTTCTGACAATTTCTGTTTTTGTGTTTCTGATTTCCAGCACCCGCAATTCTTTTGGTTTTTATTCACACATTTGCATGATGGACCAGCTCTGAATCTAGAGTCAGGGAGACTAAACCCACAGATGAGGAACTAAATGCAGACTGACTGCACACTGGACAGGTTTCTCTTGTCCTCGCTACTCATCATACAAAATGCAGAGGCTGTGGCAGCAACTTTAAATAATGTTGTCCCATGGATGCTCTTTCATCTCTCTGCAGCCTTATGGTGCTGGAATTCAAATGTGCACCATTGCTTTCATCTGTAACTCATGAGTTTCCAAGATTTCAGCTGCTGCACTTTCTTTGATCCTCATTCAGTCTTTCCTTTCTTTATCTATCTACAGGTTTTTAGAAACTCAAGAGTAGCATCCCCTCATTTCTTCCTAATTTATCTCACATAGAATTGCGTGGAACTTACAACTCAGAAAGGCTGTTATTTACTATGCAAACAGCTGTCACCCATGTGCCTATCTTGTTACTGTGTTCCTATTCCTCAATCCTTTAATCATCCATCAAATTTACTTCGCAATATTTGTTCTCTTTCTCAATCCATAACACTGCTAGTGCATTCCACTGCTCCGTAGCCTCAGTGGGAAAGAAAATATCTCCCGTTCTCTGTCCTAAATCTCTGGCGTTTAAGCTTGTGCCTGAGTGCCCATTCTCCTAGCCCCTCGATCACTAGTGTTGGTTCCTATACAGTTAGCACACTGGTTCTCAAACTTCAGCCAATTCTTCATTTTAATCTTCAGTCTGCAAGATCCATAGTTCAACCAGACTGCGTTTAATAAAGTATCAAAGCCATCTTGTCACTGGAGTAGTTTTGAGTGCCATATTTCTACTTTTCAGAAATAGGCTAGGAGATCTGATTATGTTCCACCCAGCAGTACCATCTGTGCCAACATAATGCATTCTTTAAGATCTGTCATCCAGTTGGCCTGGCCCTTTTCAGAGGGTCTAGGCCCAAAACGTCAGCTTTCCTGCTCTTCTGATGCTGCTTGACCTGCTGTGTTCATCCAGCTCTACACCTTGCTTTATCCTTAGTTTCTTTTTAAAGAGCAAGAAGCCTAGTCTGATTAAAGAAGAATAATGATTCCAGTCAAGGGTTGACTTATTGCAGAAAGGTCAAAGAGTTAAGTGATAAACAAAATCAACTTTCAAAGGATGGTTAGAGCTTTTGGAGGAGTGTAACCAGATATTAGACATGATTCCAAACTTCTGGTAGGCATATCAACTAAGAGCCGGTTGGACTAACCCACGTGAGACCAGACAACATTTTTGAAGGTGATGAAAATAATGATGAATAGAAAGTTATTTTTGACTAAGTATAAGTATTAGCTGGTGTAGTACAAAACAACAGTTTAGTTGAGAGACTCAGGAGGATTATATATGGGCACCTGGCAGTGATTAAAAAGCAGTGATTTAATCACAGGACTGAGATAATGTCCTAATCTGACATTTAAATGGTTCCCAATCTACATCTGAAACCACTCCAAGCCATCCTGCTGCTGTTAAACGTACAGGCTGATAATTGTGTTCCTTTTATTTAATACTCTTGCTTTCTTGCCAGGAGTAATGTTTTAGCATGACAGGATGCTGCTGCTGGGTTCTGGATAATTTGGAACTTACAGAAGTTGAAGGATATTTTCCACTTTTGGTGATATCAATTCAACAAATAAATGCCAAGAATAATCTTGGATTAAATTAAACAGGGTCTGTTTGCTGCTTGTGTTCCTCAGTAGCAATGGATCAAAGTGAATCACAGTTCAGGAAGTGAACACTCCTCCAAAAGCTCTAACCATCCTTTGAAAGTTGATTTTGTTTATCATTTAACTCTTTGACCTTTCTGTAATATGTTCAACTTCCTGGACACCATTCTTCTCTGACAAAATTGAGGATTTGAGAGATGTTGATTGAGTTGTCTGCATTTTTTTCCTTCTGGAATCCATCCTCCCCCCGAACCTAACAATCCTGGCAGATGGTTATAGTGTGGGCTTCACACTGCTCAGGCTGCAGTGAATACAAATTCTCTACCTCACAGTAGGGAATCCTTACAGTCTTCATAAACTGGAGAGTTGCAGCATCCTACCAGAATCTGATCAGTTACTCTTAGGTAGAGACAGGCCACTGTTACCCAGAGACATCCAAATAGGATGCAGAAGTGGAACCAAACCTCAATTCGTTGGAGAAGTAAATTGCTTCCCATGAGAGTGAGATGTCCCAAAAAGCTTTCTATTACTTAAAGAGAGATGCTTTAATTTATATCTCATTAATTGGGAACATTAAACCAATTAACTAGAGAGTGATAGTAAGCTTTTTTTGCATTAACTGGATAGGGACATTAAACCACTTTGCATTAACTACTGTGTGACACTTCATCCCAAAAACTAGAGAATGACATAAAATCCATTAACTAGAGATTGCAATGAAATGACCTTCTGTCAATTGGAGAGTAATGTTCCAAACTACATTTTCACTGATGAGAATTGACACATCAAACTGTTTGTGGTTGATGAGTATTGTTTTGATTCCAGCTGATGGTTATGACTGGGTAAGTCAGATACAGAGTGAAACTTGGCTCGATAGACCATTGGGTTTATTTTTGCTATCTATTTAACGTGGTGGTCAGGCATTGACAATATTCACAAGAGGCTGCCTATGTACTTTTAACAAAAGAACACGAACGTTTACTGCACTG